TGAGCAGATGTTTTCCATAACATGACTTTAATTAAGTCCCATGCTTGGAATCATTCCATTTTTGACAGCTTCAAGGTTGAAGCTGTATTTCTAGATGCCACTTATCAGACCTACGTCCTTCTACTATTCTTATCTGACTTTCTTCTAACCTTCTTCTTCGACTCCCAACATCTGGAAGATGTCTTTTATCCTGTCTCACCCGTCTCCCCCCCTTTCACTCGGTAACAATAGTCTTCTATTGATATAAATACAATTTTGCTAATATAGTTACAATTTAATTAGCACGAATCACATTTATCACAATCGGGATCGGGAAAGAGAACGGGATTGGGATCGGGACCAGGAGCAGGATTGAGATCGGAATCAGGATCGGGATTGGGATTGGTATCGGGACCGGGACTAGGAGCGGGATCTGGATGGGGATCGGGGCTCCCCGGGCCCCGAGCCAGGTTGTGCCCGCAGCCTCTCCCTTTATTCCAGTGAAGTTCCAGAACTCCTCTGTCTCCTTTTTGGTGTTTGTGGGTTAATTCTCCTGACACTTCTTTGGTTACGTGTTTTAAACAAGCGCTCCTCACATTCCTATACCTTATACTCCACAATTTTCTCTCTATAATTTTTTTATATGATTAAATTGATTATCAGAATATTTATAACACTGGGAGCAGATCAGTCCTCGTCCTGCACCTTTGTTATTTTCCCGAGCTCCTGGAAAAAGCAGGAGCTTTTCCAGCTGCCTGGGAAAAGCAGCTCGTGGGACAGACCTGCAGAGGGAAGAGGTGGAGCCCTCCAAACCCAAGAGCTGCACATTTTTGGGGTTCTCGGTGTGTCAGGAGTCCATGGGAATGAGGGTCTTTATGGATCCTTTGTTGGGATGGGGAGTTTATTGTTATATGATAAAACCTCACTTTATTTATTTATTTATTATAAACATCACAAATACGTTTGTTATTATATAAAGCTGTAAAAGTAACTTATTCTTACACAGAGCTTCTGGAATTAGCAGTGTTTTTCTGTTATTCTCATTTCCCTCCTCCTCTCTTGGGACACCCAGGTCGCCAAGCCAGGCTTGGGTAAAACTTGGATTTGCAGCGACATCCATCCATCCATCCATCCATCCATCCATCCATCCATCCATCCATCCATCCATCCGGGCTGCAGCCTCCTCCGTCCCTGCTGCTAAAGTCTGTCCCCAAATCCCAGCCAGCTAATTGATTTATGCCAATTAGTGACTCTCATTAAGGGACCAGCTGGAGAGCCCTGGGGGGAGCAGCCAGATCCCACAGATCCCTGTGTGGATTTTTGGAAGTGTTTTACTCCACTTGGCTTTGGGTTTTCCCGTTCGCCCCCTTTCTTTGTTGACATTTGGGGTCGGCGAGTTCACCCCGAGGTTCCTTTTTCTCCCCGTTCCTTTATTCACCTTTGGGATCAGCGAGCGGAGCCGGAGCCTCCCTTTCCTGCCACGTTCCTGGAAGGTCACGCACTGTCCCCACCTTCGCTGCGCGCAGCAATTCGCATTCGGGCCGGCCAGTTCAGACCAGTTTGTTATCAGAGAGTGCCAGACAAACCCCCAACTGCAGCTGGGGATGTTCCCGGGGCAGGGAAGGTGATAAATAAAAGCACAGGGGGCAGGGCCGGGTGGCGACACCGGCAGCGCCATTCCCGGCGGGAATACCCGGGGATATGGGGGAGGAGAGGCTGGAGGCTCCGGGCTGGCTCGGGAGGGGATGAATTGGGTGGGCTGAGGGTTTGGGACACGCTCCGCAGTGCCAGGAAGTGACAGACGGACAAACGGCCACGCTGGGAGGTGACAGCCAGCGGCAGATCCCGCCCGGCCCCGCTGCTCCCCCATGGCAGAAAAGGTGCGTGCGGCGGAGCCCTGCCCTGCCCGGGCTCCCCAAAACCTCCCACCCTCCCCTGGCCCCTCCTCGCTTCTGCTCCAGTCCCGGGAATGGGGGTCCCGCTCCCCGAAATGTCCCGGCACAAGTCTGGGAGCAGCCCGGGGACCGAGGGGTTGATGCTGGAGCTGGAGGGTGGCAGGGGCTGGGGGTGCAGGATCCCCAGGATCTCCTCTTCCATTGATATTCCAAATCCTGGGGGTGCAGGATCCCCTCTTCCATGGATATTTCACACTCTGGGAGTGCAGGATCCTGGGGATCCCCTTTTCCATGGATAATTCACATCCTGGGGGTGCAGGGACCCCAGGATCCTCTCTCCCATGGATATTCCAAATCCTGGGGGTGCAGAATCCCTTCTTCCACAGATATTCCATATCCTAGGGGTGCAGGGTCCCCTCTTCCATTGATATTTCACACCCTGGGGGTGCAGGATCCTGGGGATCCCCTGTTCCATGGATATTCCATATCCTAGGGGTGCAGAGTCTCCTCTTCCATGGATATTTTATACCCTGGGGGTGCAGGATCCCCAGGATCCCCTCTCCCATGTGTTATGAATGTCTTTCTATTTGTCCAATTTATCAGACAACAAGATTAAGTTTAGCAGCAATTTTTATTTTTTTTTTAATAGCAACGATTGTATATAAATGAATACAACCAAAGTATATTAGATACACACGTTTGAGTATATACAAAATTTGGCAGTGAGTAATTTAATATAATTAAGGTTCATATAAAGCAAAACTTTAAAAGCTCGCCCTTCCTCACATAACAAACAATCAAGCCAAAAATCCCAATTATTTACTATATGTTAATACATATTAACACAGAATTTTCTGGAAAGCTCCTCCTAGTTTCTCTCCCTGAAATCTGTGGCACTATGTTGTGTTGTGCATGCTCTGCTGATGGTTGGGGGCGTCTCATCCTTTTTGAGGGTCTTATTTCTGATGAAGACTCTTTGTCTTCATCGAGGTTAAGTAGCTAAGCACATGTTCCCACAATAAAATCTTATTCCAGTTCCATGCCGGGGCTTGGAATCATCCCAATTTGGCCCATTCCAAGGCTGAAACTTTCTATTTCTAGAAGCTCCTTATCAAACCCACATCCTTCTACTACTCCCACCTAACATCTGGAGGATTCCATCCTGCTTTGTCTCACTCATTTCCTTTTTTTACTTTGTAACAATTATTTTCTATTGATATGAGTAAAATTTCGCTAGTATGGTTACAGTTTAGTTAGCATAAATCCCATTTATCACACATGGATATTTTATACCCTGGGGGTGCAGGATCCCCTCTCCCATGGATATTTCATACCTTGGAGCTGCAGGATTCCCAGGATTTCCTCTCCCATGGATATTCCAAACCCAGGGGGTGCAGGATCCCCTCTCCCATGGATATTCCAAATCCTGGGGTTGCAGGATCCCCTCTTCCATTAATATTTCACACCCTGGGAGTGCAGGATCCTGGGGATCCCCTTTTCCATGGATATTCCCTGCCCTGGTGGTACAGGATCCCCAGGATCCCCCGTGTGAAAAACACGTTTCACTGTCCTGATAAACCTTAAAAGGTTTATTAAAAGACAATAGGAAACAAACATAAAACAAAGGGTTAAAAGGGCCGGGTGAAAACGCGGCTGCTTCGGAACCGCCCCTTTAAATCCGTTTTCCAACACATCAACCTGTTGCATATTCATAATCCTTCATGCATAATCAAACTTTTTCTGGGAACTTTTTAGCACGGCCACTCCTCGGGTCCGCCTTTTTAGAGCATGCGTGTTTCTTGGCTTGTGGTTTTAATCCTCTTCTTATCACCTTTTAATTTGGGGTGGTGGTCCCGGCCTTTTGCAGCCGGTGGGTGTTGATAATTAATTGTGGGGGTGTTGATAATTGTGGGGGTGTTGATAATTGTCGGGGTGTTGATAATTGTGGTGTCAGCTGCAGGGTTCCCATCACACGGTCACGGGCTCTTATCTCAACTAAGCGGGTGGTTTAAGCATACTACATCAAAAAAAACCTTGTGTCTAACTTTTGCTATTAGAAGAGAAAGAAGAAAAGAAAAAAAAAACTATATTCGTACAGAAAAGCTATTTTAACATTATACATACAGCATTTATCCCAATATTT